GATACATTGACGGATTCTTTTATATTGTTAACCTTATCACAAAACAATAATAGAATAATCAAGTGATAGTTTTCTAGTAATTTTAGAATGATGCAACATTAGTTGATCATTTCAAGTGTGAATAGTCATATTTGATAAGATTAGAATAAAAATATAATGAAATTAGAATAGGTATCTCCAGGGATATAATTATATGTACAAGTTAAAGAACTCGTACTTTATTAGGAGCTAGAATATAAAACTATATACACATAGGTACAACAAAGAAAGTTTATGGGGTTCGTGTACACATCACACACTTGTAACAGCGCGCTTGTAGTTAGTTCCACGATCGCCCTTGTTCTTACGGGAAGAAACAAGGAGAATCGGTAGCGAAGTTGTGCTGAACGTTTAGGTTCAGATGCGATCTTGCGAGAGAATATGCCAAAGGAAAAAGGAAACGGTCATTCCTCCGACATCCCCGACTACAGGGCTGCTCAGGCTTGCCAGAGCCTCTTCAGCCAGAGAACGGGAATGTAAGGATATGTAAAGTTAGGGATGGGAACGGAAGGAACGGAGTTAGGGTGCTGAAGGGGAGAGTACTGCTCCAGCATTCGCCTCGTAGATTTCAACATAATGCTAGCATTGTGCGAAGCTACGTATGTCTGAGGAAAACCCCCTGACAAAACCCCAGACAGAGCAGTCGGCAGCGGGATACGAACCCACGATCTCCTGAATAGCATCGGTGAGCGCAATCACTGCGCCACGCGCCTCGGTATGCCAAAGGAAAAAAGGAAAAAGGCCAACGTGTTTCATTCCTCCGGCACCCCTGACTACAGGGATACCGGAGGCGGGCTGCTCAGGGCTTCCTGGCCCTCTTCAGCCAGAGAACGGGATTGTTAGGATGGGTAAAGTTAGGGATGGGAACGGAAGGAACGGAGATAGGGTGCTGAGGGGGAGAGTACTGCTCCAGCATTCGCCTCGTAGATTTCAACATAATGCTAGCATTATGCGAAGCTACGTATGTCTGAGGAAAACCCCCAGACAGAGCAGTCGGCAGCGGGATTCGAACCCACAACCTTCCGAATAGCATCGGTGAGCGCATCCACTGCGCCACGTGCCTCGGTATGCCAAAGGAAGGGTGGCGAGATTTCTTATACTAGTCGTGCATATTTGCACGTGGTAGGTTTTCAGGTGTCGTCCTCTAGCGCTGGGTTTAAGTAGTAGGTGCGCGGGCATCTACAGCTTGGGGTAGATCGCGCGCTCCGTACTCTTGCGGGTTATTGGTAAACATGTGCCTGTAAGGTTTGGCGGGTGATTATGTTAGTAGGTGCATTGGTGGGCGTAACAAACTAAAATATGTTATTTATTCAAAATAAAAATAAAATGTTATCCTCTTCCTCTCTCCCATTTTCCTCCCCCTCGCTCTCGTGCACCTCGCCCCTTGCCCTCGCACCACAGCTCTTCCTTTCGTCTCTGTAAATTTTACATGATGGTAAATTTCACGTTGAGAGCTGTGTTTTTATAATAACTAGGTATTTTAGTTTATACAAGATTTAGTTTTAGTTTTATCGATTGATTGATATTTAATATTTATAATAAAGAAACAACTTTACTTTGGTTGTAGATTATCAACTACGGGTTAGAGTATAGGATAATATTCCTCCTACCTTAAGAAAGAACGGCCTCTCAATGAATTGCTCCTTTGAAATACATTCAATACGGATAAACTGGTGCTTGTTATATGATCTAAATAGATTAAAAACCTTGTCTAAATACAATGCATAGTACAAAACAAATAATGACGATTATAACTAAGATACAAGTTGTTGAAGGATGAGCTACATGTACTACAGGTTCCAATCTTATTGGCTCTAATGCTTTAGCTTCGTCCCTTAGGTCCCTAAAATCAGCTGTAGATGATCCAATTCCGAACCTGATCTAAGAGTGACAATGTAATTAATCTTTACCAAAAGGTTTTGAATGAGTAAAGGAAAATCTATCTCAATCAGCTGTAGATGATCCAATTCCGAACCTGATCTAAGAGTGACAATGTAATTAATCTTTACCAAAAGGTTTTGAATGAGTAAAGGAAAATCTATCTCAATCTATTGTTAAAGTGGTTTAAAGGTTTGTCAGAGATAGGCACAGTGAAAACTGGATTTTCTTGTGAGCAGTATGTGGGTATTTTTCGGAGGTTTCCTGCTTTCTGAATCTTTTAACAGTTATTCTACTTCTTTTCTTCGACGTGTATAAAAGGATGCGGTTTTATGATCTTATCTAATTTATTGGGCATTGTAGGGTGAGTTCGATTTCTGGAAAGTGCATCCGTTTACTAAATTTTCTTTTCCTTTTTTGTATTGGAATTTTAGAGTCAAATTCTTCAATCGAAATCTTCATTTGATTAAACTGGAATTTTCGGCGTTTTTAAAGGAAATGAGCAGACGAAAGGCTTATGATCTGTTTTCATAATGAACTGTTTTCCATAACGTACGGTCTAAAATTGTTTTGTATTTCTACGATTTGGACCCAATTCATTTTCTATAGTAGGTAATAATTTCTTTCAAGCACTCTAAGGGTCGAGAGGTAAAAGAAGCATCGGTACGGTGATGTGAATGTTATATATATATTATATTATATATATATATATATATATATATATATGTGATCGTGTTAAATCCTGAATATCTATCCATCAACATAGTTTTATGCCAAAAATATCTACCTTCTCTTGCGATGGATAAAAGAAAAGAAACCAGGTTGATGATACACTTACTTTAAAAAAGCATTTGATACCGTAGATCATGATAAGTTTTAAGAAAGTATGACGTCTGCATGTACATTTAGGACATATTTGAACACAGAACTTGGTGGTGGAGATATTTTTGGTAAGATATGGTCCAATAGGGTCATCCATCACAATGCAGGCTAAAATTGAACTTAGTGACGATCCCATAGGAGCTCCCGATATTTGTCTGTAGAATTTATTATCGAAGGTGAAGTAGCAATTTGTAAAGGTGAGAGTAAGCATCTGCAGGAACACCTCTTTCGGAAGAGTAGTATGTTGTTGGATTATTTCCCAATGTTTATTGATGATGTCGATGACTAAACTTTAGTGGAATGTTCGTGAAGAGTGGCACCACGTCCAGGAATATTACGATGAAATTTTCGGGTAGCTGATGGTTTCTGATCTTGTTGGAAAACATGAATGTATCTTGAATATTATAATCGGTTCGGTTGCCATGTGATGAGGATGCTGGATAGGAATTTTGATAAACCTGATAAGCAGCAGTAGATGCACGAGACGATAGGTCTTAGTGGGCAGCTAATCTTGTGTATTTTAGGTAAACCAAAAATTTTGGGTGCAGTTCCATTGTAGCACTTTTTATGGAACTTTTGAGCTGATCGCTTATCTCCATACTGTACTACGGTCAAAAGTTGACGCCAATCCCCTCCAATTAATACAATCTTGCCACCGAAACGAAGTTTTGAAAGACTGCTTTCTGCAGCATGCTAATTTCATTTATGATTATTAACTGCGCTTTCTTATTCTTTGGGTTATAACGTCATTCCACCGTACTTATAGGTGGTACGTAATCTGTCCCTTTCGTAACGTCGGTGGGCAAATGAAAAGCGTTATGAACGTTCATACCGCGAGGTAAAAGTTGTGCAGCAGCACCAGTTGACGCTGTAACGATGGCATACTTTTTATACTTACTTAAAAAATATATCTATGATGGTTTTTATAAGTAGTAATATATAGCCGCTACGAAATCTCACTAGATGAAAATCCCTAGAAAAGTCACTAGAATTGAGTGGTTCTGAACTGCGGTAGCGAGGTTTGCGCCTATGCTAACGTCAAGGGGGTCGAGGTTTGCGCTCGAGATAAAGTATCGGAGGTTTGCGTCCGAGCTAAAGTAAGTCGGTTTGTGCCTGAGGGTTCTTGTCGATGGTAGTGTACGGCCGATTCTAAATCTCACTAGATGAAAAATCCCCTAGAAAAGTCACTAGAATTGAATGGTTCTGAACTGCGAGGGTTGCGACTGAGCTAACGTCAAGGTTCTTGTCTAAAACGAATATATGGCTGTTTCTAAACCACACTAGCGTTAAGAGGTTTGCGCCTGGGCTAAAGTAATTTGATCATGTTCAGGGAAGTATCAGAGGTTTGCATGAAGTGGTTTGTTTATGAACTGAAGGTGGTATATAAAGGATAGGAATGAGTGCTGTAATATTCATCTTGGTATAGAAAGAGCATCCGTTACGATGACAAAAACAGCATCAACCACAACAACAACATTTGTAAAAGTGAGCCGAAACCGCAAGAGAATTGAGGATTTGCTTACGAAAATAAAGATATTAAAATGGGACCTGGAGGTATTCGAGGTGCAACGAAAATTGAGTAAAGTGCGCTTGCACACAAGAAGTTGAAAGAGCCAACGTCTATCAAAATTACTATTTTTTGTACTACACATGTATATTTAAGGGCTGGCGCTCGTATCAATAATTATTATATGTACTTCAGCAGCAGTAAAGAAATAAAACACGCATGAATATTTGTTGTATAATTATTTAACCACGAGTGAAATTTCCTAAGTACCTACGCAATTGAAGTGCTAAGGAGAAATGGGTTTAATCATAATGAATTACATTGACCTGTGCACGTAAAAATAAACATTTTATCTCGGAAACCTTCATTTCAATTTACGTTGTTAATATTAAGCATAGGTACCTTATTTATTACTAATGGGTCACATTTTTAAACCTTAATAGAACTAATTTTTGATAGCTGCAGAATATAAGTAATTTTAGGTAAATGAACATTTTGCAAAAAGCAGCACATTTATTCAAAAAAGGTGGGAGAACAAATTTTGACCAATATTTTGGATGGAAATCCAAAAAAAAAACTGCTCCGATGTTGCAGTAAATCCAGCGGGATTTACTCGAAGCGTTTATGATACAGCGGAAGCGAGCAGCGTTCGAATGCGATATCGGCACCTTGTAGGAGAATGAATGAATACAACTCATATGTATCCGCGGAGTTCGTCTGAAACACCATCACCTTTATTAGGATGAAGGCTGCCCGCGCGCGCTCCGCGCGGCTGCTGCACCGCCGCGGCCGCGCGGTCCCCCGCGGCTGTCTATCATCCGTACTTAAGCTTGATCGTGGGAGCGCGCCTCGCGCGCTCCTTTATGCGATCGCCATAATTTTGTGTACATTACGTACAATTGGTAAAAAGCGAGATCGTGGAAGTACGCTACTTGTAGCGAGCTTCTTTATATGCGATCACATTTGAAACTGATTAGAATTTGAAACTGATTAGAACCTACGAATTTTTTTTTAATCCGTGGACCGCGAAATTTTTGAACGTAATACGCGGTCTTGCTTCAAGTGCGCTTATGCAATTATACATGCGGTCTCCTGCATTTTGGGCTGCATAGCGTAACAGATTACGCTATAAGTATTTTTTCTATCTAAATGTTTTCACACAGACATCTTTTTTCTTGCCCATGATTCATGACTACACCACCACCACCAAGTAAAAAAAGAATAGTTTATGTGTATTTGCTATTTATTACTTAAATCTAGATATATACAAAAAAAAACCTATTTACTATTTATTACCTACTTCAATCTATATATATACAAAACAAAAACACCTATTTTCTGCATTTAAGAAATTTCAAAAACTCCCCTATGTATACCTCATCCTTTTCCAGACGCTTTTCGTCCGCCTTTGCCGCCTCTAGCTGCCGCTCCAACTCAGCCGTCTTCACTCGCGCCTCCAGCAGCTTGGCCCGGTACACCGGCTCCATTTGCTTTAAGCTGCTGTAGGTGGTTAGGGCTAGCTCCCTGGGGGTCTTTGGTTGAAGCGACCCCCCCTCTTGTTGTGACGACTGAGGTGGTTGTGGCGGTGATGGTCTTTCGGGGCGGTACCCCTCCTCCAGGTCGACCATATGCATCATGTCCCCCAAATTTTTCCCCCTTTTTTTGATTCCGCTCGTCGAAGGGGCGTGGTCATGGCTGTGACTGTAATCAATAAAAAATAATCTGTTACGATGGAGTTCGATTAGTATTTTATGACATAAACTTACGATCGTTTTTTTCCCGCTTCACGGCCGGATTCTGCCGGTGGAGGAGGAGCAGGAACCGGTGTTGCTGCTGGTAGGGGTGGTGGTGGCGGTGGTGGAAGATGTAGCTGTAGTGGTGGTAGCTGTGGTGGCGGTGTAGGCGACCGCATGGCTTCGGCGCTCAAGGTGGGCGTCGGTACTATGCTGAAATTAGAGAATTTTATCGTTAGCGCCTAGAAAATAAAAAATACATTTTTACTTACCGAGCTGGCTCGAAAAGAAAATCTGCCGCCGGATCCCCTTCCAACTGAGCCAGAAGCATATCCAGCTCGAAATTTTCGCCCATATTCCCGGTTCTGTAAAAAAAATCAATCAAATTTTTAACATAACGAGAAAGAAGGAAAAAATAACTTAAAAAAAAAAATATAAATAAATAAATATTGTATACTTACGCAAATGTCGAATTATCTGAGTGTATTGTTATTACACTCAGATTATCGTCCAAGAGTGGTAATCCCTGGGGCGGCGGAACCGGATCCATCTGGGTTAACACCCCAGATGGCTTTGACGGCGGTTTTTCGGTGGTGGTGTACGTCTTCGTCGACGACGTAGTCGGTGCTTTTATTAGCATCGACTGTAGAATTTGCACTTTTGGAACTTTAGGGGCTTTGGGCGCGCGGTTTAACTTTTTCGTTAGTTTTTTAGTTAGTGATGCCATTATAATAGCTCGATGCTAACTAGTAATTAGTGGGGAAAATTTTCAGTATATATTGTAAAATTGTTGTAATGGTTTGCGGAAAACTAAGGAGAGATTGCGTTAATGAGTGAGAAAGTTAGATCGTATGATTCTGGGATAAACCAGGTGCAGCGGCATGAACTCTTGCGCATATTTGACCCTGAACACCTGGTCTATATATAAGGTGACGATACTAACATTACTTGCATCTTCAAATCCCCCCGCGGCTAGTATAGGACGTCGTGCGAGTGCAATACACCATCAACAGTGTCGATTGTACGTACGCGAGGGGTCTGTGACAAGGATATCAGTACTCACATATCTTTTTTCCGAGAAAGCAATAGTTCTTTAGATAGACAATTCCTGTAAGTAGTGATAATGGAGTCTACATCCGTTGCAATTCTTAGTAGTGAAATAGTTAAGCTGACCCGAAAAGCTGTTGCATTATTAAAACATAAACCGGAAATTTTGAGACATATTTCGATATTAAGGACAAATATTTCATTGATACAAAATGCAATCAATAATAGAATTCATTTAGACAATCGCCTAGAGAACCCCAGTACTTTAGAAAGTAATCTAGGAATTTTGAAATTTTATCTGGTTAGGTTACTTCAACAATTGAAAAAGGTTTCGGGAAAAAAAGAGGGTTGTGGAATAAGTGATACCCCTACTAACAGTCCTTCTAGTAACAACGGTCCCAAATCTCGTGCCCTAATTTGGCAAACTTTAAATTCCTGCTTTCAGAGTCGAATACTTACCGGTATTATTGTAAATACGATATACAAGGATCCTTTAATATTTTTGGATAGGGCGTTTAATAACATTGCACGAAAGGTTAGGGAAATGTTAAGACAATCCATGCTAAAAGTAAACGTGGTTCTTGCATGCGATTTCATACATCCTCAAAATCTTAATATAGATCTCAAGACGTTTGCCACAAAAAATAGCGTTCTTGATGTCGGTAGTAATCTAAAAGAGTGGTATCGGAAGGAGGTAATTGATAGATTGCGAGGGAAGCTTGAGGGCTTTGAAGAGTGTCAATCTGGTTGGAGTTTAAGGGAGGTATTATATGTAAAAATAAACATAAATAAATACATGCCCATTAGAGTAGGACGCTTTTCCACCTATATTAAAATCCCTCGTTTTATAGCACTTAAGAGAGCGGTTATCAATGTTAGAAATAATGACAAGTATTGTTTTTTGTGGTCGGTCGTCTCCGCCCTTTATCCCGCGAAATCTAACCCCGATAGACCTTTCAGTTACCCCCATTTCGATGCTGTTTTGAACCGTGGAAATATTGAATTCCCTATTAAGGTACCCGATATAAAGAAGTTCGAACGATTGAATAATCTCGCCATTAACTTGTATTGCTTAGAAAAGAGAAACGTACTTCCTTTTATGTTAAGTAGAAATCGCGAACCTCGAGCAGATACGATCAATTTACTAGTCTTATCATCTGATACAAATGGCGCTAATTCTAAATACTATCATTTTGCGTGGATAAAAAACCTATCACGTTTATTATCGTCGCAATTGTCGAGAAGGGAACATGCAAAATTTTTCTGTAACATCTGCTTAAATCACTTCTCTTCGAATCAGTTACTGGAAAAGCATACAATTCGCTGTCATCAAGTAAATAAATGTGCGGTAAGATTGCCTAGAGAATCTGAAAAAATTGTACAGTTTTCTCATTATTCTAATAAGGAAAAAGTTCCGTTTGCAATTTACGCGGATATAGAAAGCATTTTGGAAAAATGTGATACAATTTACTATACAGGGAAAAACACTAACCTATTTCAAAGGCATGTACCTTACGGCATAGCTTTTTATTTGAAATGTGCGTATGACGAATCGATCTCGAAGTTTTGGTCCTATAGAGGTGAGGATTGCGTAACTTGGTTTATTAACCATCTACGAAGTATCGCGATGTGGACTAATACAATTATTAACAACCCTCGACCGATGGAAAGATTGAGTGAGAAACAGCAACAAGATTTTGAGAGCGCCACTCATTGCCACATATGCGAGAAGGTGTTTTCCGAAAACGAAATTCGGTGCCGAGATCATTGCCATTTTACGTCCAAATACAGGGGCGCATCACATCAGGCATGCAATATAAACTATCAAGATAATCATGCCATACCGGTGGTATTTCATAATCTAAGTGGATACGATTCACATTTCATCATCCGCGAACTTGCAACCGGTATGCCTGGACAAATAAAACTTTTACCTTTAAACAAAGAGAAGTATATCTCCTTTACGAAATACGTAGAGGGTACAAAGGTTAATTTTCGATTTATCGACTCCTTTAGGTTTATGAGCAGTAGCATAGAAAAATTGTCATCGTATTTAGGAAATGATAAAAAAACGATAACGCGTTCGCAAAGTCGCAACGAGTCCGAGTTTAATTTGGTCATACGAAAGGGTGTTTTTCCCTACGAATACGTAGACTCTTGGGAAAAATTAAACGAAACTCAGTTACCGCCAAAAGATAATTTTTTTAGTACATTGCGTAACGAAGGCATCACCGACGAAGATTATGATCATGCTTTAAAAGTATGGAACTTGTTTTCGATTCAAACCCTCGGTCAATTTTCGGATTTGTATTTGAAAACAGACGTGCTACTTTTAGCGGATATATTTGAAAATTTTCGTGAAACTTGTCTACAAACTTATAAACTGGATCCCTTGCATTATTACACGGCACCTGGTCTCGCATTCGATGCCATGCTCAAAATTACCGAGATTAAATTAGAACTTCTAACAGATATTGATCAAGTTATGTTCATTGAGAAGGGTATTCGAGGTGGTATCACTCAATGTTCCACTAGATACGCGAAGGCTAACAATAAATACATGAAAGATGACTATCGTCCAGATCTTGAATCGATCTACTTGATGTATTTTGATGTCAATTCCCTGTATGGTGCCACAATGTGTGAATTTTTGCCCTACGGAGAGTTTTCCTTTGTAGATGACGATGCTTTTGAAACGTTAGATATATTGAACCACCCTGATGATGCAGAAATCGGTTACATTTTGGATTGCGACTTAAATTATCCGCCCAATCTCCATCAATTGCATAATGATCTTCCTCTGGCACCAGAGCACAGAAACCCTCCTCGTTCTAATTTTAAGAAATTAATGCTAACATTGTATTCGAAACAGAACTATGTGTTGCACTATAGAAATTTGAAACTGTACATAAAGCAGGGATTAGAACTCGTCAAAATTAATCGCGTATTAAAATTTCGACAATCGCCTTGGTTAAAAAAGTATATCGATTTAAATACGCAAAAGCGGCAAGAATCTAGTAATGAATTTGAGATACACTTTTACAAGCTAATGGTAAACAGTGTATATGGAAAACTAATGGAAAATGTAAGGAAATATAAAGATGTGCATTTGGTAACGACATGGGAAGGACGGTACGGCGCTGGGGCGTATATATCGAAGCCGAACTTTAACAGTTGCACTCTTTTCGGCGATAATGAGGACATAGCCATTATAGAAATGAACCGTTTAGAAGTGCTGCTCAATAAACCTATTTATGCCGGTTTAGCAGTTTTAGACGTTTCAAAAACGTTTCTTTACGATTTTCACTACAATTTTGTTTTAAGGGAATTCAAAAATCGCGCAAAACTCTTATACACCGACACTGATAGCTTGATATACTCATTCGCAGTTTCCGACATTTATCAGTCGATAAGAGAAAACATTGCTCGATTTGATACTTCGGCTTATAGTCCTAATAACGCTTTTGGCATACCCCTGGTTAACAAAAAAGTTCCCGGTCTGATGAAAGACGAGAACAATGGTAAAATAATGTTAGAGTTCGTAGGGCTAAGGGCAAAAATGTATGCTTATTATGTAGACGGTAAAGTATTGAAAAAATCAAAAGGTGCAACTTTCGCCAGTATCCGTGAACTGACTTTAGAGGACTACAAAAACTGTTTGTTTAACGATGCAATCTTGAAACGGTCTCAGCATCTAATAAAATCGCAAAAACATGCAGTATTCACCATTGAACAGAACAAGATTGTTTTAAGCCCACATGACGATAAACGACAAATTGATCCCGATTGTATTAACACTCGTCCTTGGGGATATAACTCTCTCACTTAATTGTATCAATATTCCACAACCCTCTTTCACCTTGTGTTATAATTTTCTTTTTCTGTTAATTTAGGTGTGTGCGTGTGTGTGTGATGACGAGCAACAGCAGTAGTAGCAGTAATAGTAGCATGGAAAGTAATGATCGAAAATTGGAACAAGACATTTTTCGTGCTTCGCACGCAATATACTTCGGACATTTAAAGTGCGCTATATTAAACACCACTTCGTTCTCTATCGAGACTTACTTCTTCATTAACAACATTTTACAGCGCATTGTTATTCCGGATGAGTGTTTTAACTGGTGCGCAATATCAAAAAATGTGTGCAAGGAAATGGTTAAATTACTATTTCATAAAAAGATTGAATTGGATAATTTAATGAACCATTATTCCCGTGTAAACGGTGATCGTTTTGCTGACGCTCATGCTCCTAGTGTACCATTGTATTTTACAACTTTTATAGCAGATTTAAGAGCAAATAGTGTAAATAATGTATTTAATAGTAGTATGTATAAAGATAGTTCGTATGTCATTAACGATGCTATATGCACAGCGGCAGAATACGCAAACTTTAATGCGCTGCAAATATTTATTGATGTTTGCCAAGAGTCGAATGTTAGGTATAATTTTAGTCCACGGCAAGATGCTCGCCATCGGAAAATCTACGAGTGGCTATTGAAAAATATAAGAACCGGTACACAAGATCCTAACGCTCTACTGGGTTGGAGGTGTGGGCCAGATAGCAGCGTATGGCCCTCGACGCTGCTGAACGATTACCAGAAAACGTACGATATTCTTAAAAAAATTGTCAATAACGATAGCTTTACTAGAAAAAATGAAAAATATGTTGTATGGTAATTGGAAGGAAAAATAAAAAAAGA